TGATCGCAGAGGGAGAATGCACAGAAAAGACAAAGATGGCTTAACCAAAAGTAACTTAATTTTAAAGGTAACCCGTATACAAAAATTTTTTAATTCCTTACATTGATTAATTGATTGATTATGCAATTGATTAATTAATTAATAATGTTCAATGAAAACAAAAAATATTTTTTGGCACTTACTGTCGCTTAATGATGTATAAATAACGTGAACAACATTTTCGGATGAAGAAAATATTAAAAACTTAGGTACTTTAAACCTAATAAGGAAATAAGACTAATTAATTCTCGTTATCTATTAAATCTATCGCGTTTAAATAATACATAAGTATATATATATATGCATATATGTAATAGTCTAATATAACAACTGCTCTTACTAAAAGCATTTAGATCTAGTTTTTAATATGCACAAAAAAATTAAATACTTTCTTCCCAAAGTTTGCCACATTTTAATTTTCTTCTCATTGATTTTATATATATATATTAGAGCTTTTAGATTCAAACGAAAATAAAAACTAGTTTCAAGAGTTTAGAAGAAATCTATAATATTTTTATTAACTTTATTGAGACAAATAGTTCCAAAAAATTTTTTTGTTTTCTACTTGTTTGAAAGTAATTTAAATTAGTTCAATAATTATTTTATTTTGATCGCTTTTATTTGCTCGATTCTTTGAAAAATGTCTGCTTTAAGTTAGTCGTTATTTACACTCAGTTTGGCTTTGCTAGATAAACTTATTTTTTATTTATTGCAAAAATCTCTTTAATCACCAGACGTTATGCATCAATACTAAAATCTAAAATGAGTTTAACTTATTAATCAACATAGATAAAAAGGACTTACGCTTATAAGCGACAAAATTCGTTGCAAATGAGCGAGTTTCCGCTTACTTTGAAATGAAATTTACTATATGTTAATTTTTATTGTTTTTCTTTTTCCAAAAAAAAGTGTAAATAGACTATTTTAGTTCGCTTCTTAAATCACATTATGTATTATGTATTGAATTTTAATTTAAGCGAAGTTAGTTACATATTCCAATTATCAATTAAAACAAACATACAGGTAGATGTATGTAAATACAAATTTATACATATAACAAAAATTTGAATTTAGCCAATTTAACAATTTTTTCTGCAATTATGAAATGCCTTTTGATTTTGTTCTCTTGTTAAAGTAAATAAATTATCTATATCAAATATTTTTAGAATTAATATCAAAAAATTTTAATATTTTTATTTTTTCAAATAACTTTGTGTTTTACCTTTCATCTTATTTATTTTGTCATTGAAGACTTTCTAAGATTTGCAAAATTATTAATGTTAATTTTATACAGCGAATTTTTCCATTCAAATATAACTCCCATCCAAACATACCTTCTTTCACAATCTACAAGTATCTCTTGATTGTTGCTTGTCTTCAGACATTTTTTACAATTTCGTCAATATTTTTCTTCTAAAAAAATTATAAAAGTTATTCCGTTTATAAAACTTATGTTAACCTACATGTTTGGTTTATTATAACTCAGTGACAGCTCTACAAAATAGCTATCATAAATGGGGCTACTGATTTTTTTTTAGTTTTATATATAAATGCGAATCTTCTACTTCTATAAAAGCAATTTCCAATAATACATTCTCAAAGCATTAATTTCTTTATGCCTTGAGGTAATTATTAAACCAATTTTTGAATGTTATGAATAACAGTGTAGGAAAAATTGAAAGTAATAATTTAAACAAACCTTTAAGTCATTGGTTAATGTAAATATTAAATTTGCTTGTTTAGCTGAATGCTTACGGCACCACTAATCAGAAAAATTATAATGCCCAAAAAAACCTGTAAAAAATGATCATCTATTTAAAGCAATGATAAACAATAACTCAAAATATAATTTGGCATGTATGTAAACTGAATAGAAATATGTTGAAAACATAAAAAATTGATATATTATTATTTATGTTATTGAATAATACTATAAAATTAAATTACGTGTTACATTAATTACATTAATAAATAAGGAGAAAGATTTTTTTTATGATATGTATTAACTATATTGATACAATTTACCGTTAAGTCTGTCGTCGGTCATAAAGCATGCATACAGATGGCCCCATTGAGCTGCGTCTTTTCAGAATGCTGTATATTTTTTTTCGTTTTATTTTTTATTAACTCGGCATCTGCAATAGGCAGACTTAAGTTAGATTTTATTTTTGAATTCTAAGAAGTATTATTTTCAAATCTTTTATGTAAACAGCAATTTGTATGTGTAGTGAAAAAGTGAGTGGTACAAATATTTTCCCAAAAGTCTATTCAACGTAAACCAACAGACAAAAATTTGAAAAGTAATCAAATGTTTCGAATTCATATAAAATTTTTAATTTGATCCCTTTTAGCGCAAACAAAAGCATTGATTCAGTTTAAAAGCGAGTCCCATGCACCATGGATGTTAAGCTATTAAATCTTCATCTACTTACGAAGAACAGCTTCCTTGAACCAATCAATACTCTAGTATTCTCTATTGCTGAAACAATAAAATATTTGTGTTATGTGAAAGAATTCGCTCAGGTATTGTTGGTTGGTTCGTGTAGAAAGTTGTTAAAATGCCCACTCTTCCAGAATAAATTGTTTTGATGACTATGGGTTTTGTCTACTTTACACTCGTATTAACCTTGACATCATTGTCTTATAATACCAACTCGGTTAAGCAATGTGTTTACTAATTGCTTAATTAAAAAATATTCAATCATCATATCGTATTGTAAGAACGTGAATACGTAAACGTGAATCCTTCACTTCTTCTAGACTTGTTTCTTTAACATCCGTAAAATATTGTTTCTGGAATATATTACAATTTACTTTAAGCTTGGTTTCGGGTTTACGTTGCAAGGACTTTAACAATACCCACTATTCCGCTAAAATATTGCGTTATCACACTCACACACTTACACATTTATGTGATTTGTGTAAATTATTCAATACGCGTAATTGCTTTTCCAGAAAAAAAATTAAAGCGTAAATGCTTCCATATGACTTTAAACAATAATATCAGTTGTTATATTGTCATTAGTCGAATAATAGAAACAGTATTGTCACTACTTCAAAAGTTATATCAGTTTGAATTTGAATTCAGTTCAATTGGGCCATCCCATGTAGATATTTCGTGACAATGTGAAATATCCTAAATCCCTAGGGGGTTTTATAAAGATATTATTTTCAACCTATTCATTATCAATATTTTAACCTAAGAAATAGAAATAGGCAACAAAACCTTTTAATAAAGTGCTAAAAAATATAAATATTGTATTTAAGATATTATTGTACCTACTAAAAACTTGAAATATTGAACAATTTTACTTTTTTTTTTTTTTTTATTTCAGTAAATATGTTCTTAATTAAAAAGATGCAAATATATAGAAAATTTGTTGAAATTTTATTTGTTCAGTCATAAGATGTTTTTATAAATCTTTTTCTGCACTTAAAAATTTCTACAGAAGCTTTAAGCTTTTCATGTTGTTGCATTCATCGAAGCGATTCAATATAAGACCTTTTCTTTTCTAAGCTTGTTGCAAAAAAACAAAATAAAAATAAGCACTACTTTCGATGGCAACTCTGGACAAAATGGAGATTTTGTTAGGCTTATAAATGCAAAACACGTTATAAAATTTAATGTTAAAATTTCAAAAATTAACAATAATTTTTTAAAATTAACATATTAGAATATTTTTTTTTTTACATGACTGTGAATAAAATATGAATTTTCATGCCTTTTAACAGAAAAATAATAAATAGAAAAAATAACGTATTTGTTACGAAAAATGACGACACGAAATACGAATAATTAACGAATTCGTTGACAGTTAACTAGAAATTTCGTAGGTACGTTACTTCCAAAATTTGTTCACAATAGATAAATTTTTAGTCTTGGCAACCATGTAATTTGAGTTGCTTGTTAGTTAAGCGATTTCAAAAAGGTTGGACTAAATAAGCCAGCAGTGTTGTTGTTTCGTATGTTATTCTTTTGTGATATGCTTACAAAAAAAAAGGTCTATATTAAAAATGCATTTAAGACGGTCATAAAACTTAATGATAATAAAAAATGAAAACTAAACCAGATAATTATATGTTATCAGTTGAAATCAGACACTTAGGATTATCAATCTCCTTTCCAACTGTGTCGCTATTAAAAAAAAAAAAACACTTAGTATATCGTAAAATAATTTCTCTGTACTCTGTTTAACAGATAGATCTTGGATCAGAAAACAGTAACACTAGTTGGTCCTTTTTAGTATTTTTATAATTTAAGACTTCGAAAATCGCCAGCATGCCATGGTTTTGAATAAGTTAAATTTTTCTACTTTATTATTGTAATACCAACACTAAATTTCCTTATTTTGGGTAATAGCGAATTAAAATTAATGTGGGTAAGTAAGCACATTCGTAATTAATTTGAGTTTTGTGTTCAGTTTTTATGGTTTGTGCATAATCAGTTAAAAGCATTTTGTTGTGAATAATGCTTCAATAAAGTTTTATAAATCAACACAATTTTGCAACGAAAATCTTTTGAGTTGGTAGCTATCACTCCTAAAACATACATATTTGTTAAATTAATTGCAAACGTTTCTAGATTTGTATTAATTAATCGCGGTTCAATTTGTGTGAAAAGTAATAATATTTGGTTAAATTACGTTTAATACTAAATGATATATTATACAAAAATCTTTTACAAAATTACGATAAAAGCAGAAAACAAAATGCAGTATTAAGATACACACATATCTTCTTACCATAATTATCGACTTTGGCGTTTGAACCTAACAAAACAATTACAAATAATAAAACGATTATATGTAATTATTATTAATGTTGTTCTATTGTAATAATGCTAATTTCATTCTCTTTTATTTTATTTTACTGTAGTTTAACAACCATAATATTTTTGACTTATAATTCATCTAATAAAATGATCATTTAAGTGAGTTTCGTATTGATAAATCTGATTTTAGTTCCTTAATATGGCATCCGTCTTCATGAGAATATTTAATTTAATATGTATGATGCTTTTAATTGGTCACTGGAGCGGTTGCCTTCAATTCTTAGTTCCAATGTTGCAAGGCTTTCCATCGAATTCATGGGTATCCATTAATGAACTGCAGGTAAGATATAATAAAAAAATTATTTTTATATATGTATTTTTTATTTGTTTTTAACGCATCTCTCTAATCCGAAGTTAACTATACAAATGTTATAAAAATGAAACTGATTTCACACGACTATAGTTGTTAACGACTGAAGTGCTATTCAGTTCAAAATATATTTGAAGAGAAATACTATTAGAAAAAATAAGCAAAAAATTGATAAGATATATTTTTGAATAGAAATAAAAAAGGATTAAAAGAATGAATAAAGTTAAGAGTACTAGAAATTGCTAAAATTTTATTAAGTAAAAAAAACAATGTTTCACAAGCTTTTGGTATTTATTTTAAGCATGTAGGCAGAAGCTTAAATAACACATATAGGACATCCCTCCTATGTCTCGTAGACATCCCTCCTAGAAATAGAAGAGGGTTTTATTTCGAAATATAATATAATTTTCGATTAGTCAGAGTTAACCTTCGAACGAATGAATATTAAACGATCTGATTTGATTTTTGGATACCTATCTACTATGTATTGATGAAACAATTGACGACATTTTAAAATGTGATTGTCTTTATTCTCTCTAGTCATTAATCGGTAAGAATAATAGTTTATTGTGCTGCATTTCTCATGTGGTTTTTCCTGCTGTCTTGATTTATAAACTTTACCATTGAAATGATATCTATTGGCACTACACCAGAAAAGTAATACAGATTATTAAAGATTAAATTTCTTTATTTAAGGTGCCTTATCTATAAGCCTCTCCAAATTTTTTCAATTTAAATTGATCTGCGACTATAACAATTGATATTTGATTTTTAATTGGATCATCTTTGAAATCTTTGAAACATGTTTTCCAAAAAAAACAAGAGAAAACAGAATGTAATAACAAAAAGATATGAAATTACAAACAGTTCAAAAGGAATAAACACGAACTAAAAAAAGTGAAAAAAAAACGAAATATCTTATTGTTGTACTAAAAAATAAGAAAAAAATTTAAAAAACAAAATCATCTAAAATACAAACTGAAGAGCAATGAAAAAATAAAACAAAAACTGTATTAATGAAATGGATGTTAAGGTATATAATGGTCCGTTGTTTATATAGATTTTTTTAAATTTCGTTAAAAATAGAATATAACAATCGGAAAAATTAAAAATGCTAAGTTAAACGCAGTATTTTACCAAAATAATCGTTTCACCTACTACAGATGTGAGATCTATATGTAAAATAAATATAGACCTATAGCTCACGCTCGAATAATCTTAAAATAGTCGGGAAAATATTCGAACATTTGGTTTTTTGAGGTTTTGAGCAATCAAACATTTTTGACATTAAAATTTAAAAAGATAAAAATTTATACAACTACACAGTGCAATATTATACGAAGAATAAGGTAGATAAATTCTTCATACCCACCTATTCATACCACACTATTATTTACATTAAAATTATTGAAATTTTAATTACAATTAATTATATATTATATATATATATATAGTACCTATGTTACTGTAAAAGAGATAAGTCCCTACAAAATTTATTATGTTCATGTCTTTATATTGTCTCATCCATATAACTCTACCTATCTATCTGCGTCGACTGAAACAAATCGTATTAAAGCTAACCAAACAAAATTTAGTGATTACATTTTTTGACATTTCAGAGATACCATATAGTTATGGTATATTATTCACGCAGAAATTATTGAATACATATGTATATTCTTAAGAATTGTTATCATTAGACATTTTGTTATTTGAAAAACTATTTCATTTTAAGAGCTATTGAACGCTCACTAATACTTGATTCACACGGAAGATTTTGTTTGTAATTTCAGCTGTCAAAAATTTTCATTTTGCATTGAAAGCAACAACATGACAGTTATAATTACAAACATAACAGCTAAAATTACAAACAAAACTCTCGTGTGGATCAAGTACAAAAAATAACACAGGAATTCTGAAAAATTATTCGTCACACACACATATCTAACTATAAGTCAAATATCGTTTTCGTTTTAATTAAAAGTTTAAAAAAATTAATCTCCCAGAATTTGACCAATATTACTAAAAAAATTGATATAATGCAACACTTTTTACAAAAACTTCTCCAAAAACCAAAAACTGAACTATATAATTACTCAAAATTTTTATATTGCAATCACGTTAACTTCTAGTTATAGACGAAGTAATATCTTTTAATGAAAAAGTGACCTATATTGCTCATTATATTATTTTGGCATAAACAGACACTATATTGTCCACAATTTTCATATTATTATTTTATTGTATACATATATTAGATAAAGAACTCTCGAACAATGATTGAAATACCTGTTTCTATAACTAATAGTTCTAATAATTGCTCAAAAAATTTGGTTCCTAGGGTATTACAAATTGCTGAACTATTCAGCGTCTATATAGTTTTATGGATCACATCAGAAAATATATGTTAACATTGAAAAAATGTTTATAGAGAGATATTTTCTCAATTTTTTAATATATCTGAATATTTATACAGCAAATTCTTATCGTTTTTCTTTTGTGTTTGCATTGTTCTTGTTTCTCTGGATTCTGGCCCATGTAGCTTAAATGTGACTTTTAATTTAATACTTATAATAATTAAGGTATATGGGCAATTTCTTTTCGAAAAATCCGGTTGACAAGCACCCTCTAGATCGGTTCATTTTACTAAAAAAGTAAATTCTGTGTAAAATTTTTTAGTTCAATTAGAATAAGTGGAAATGGCGCATCAAGAGCCCCAAAAACTGGAAATTAACGGATTTTCTCCATAAAATTCATATTTGATTGCTTATATCTCCGACATATTTAATTTTTACATAAAAACATGTTTAATTTTACATAAAAACATGTTTAATTTTACATAAAAACAATTCACTCATACAAAGTTTTTCTGTATTTCTAATAATTATTGAATAAAAGAAAAAATAAGCTAAAGTCACCCGATTGCTAGGTTTCCAAGTGCTATGAATATAATTGTCACTTCAACTTTACAATAATTGCTATAATTTAATATTTCTTCTAATAAAAATGTGCTAGTTCTGGTTTTCTCCGACGTAATTTTTATTATTTTATTTAAAGTTGCTGGAACAAAGTATCTTTATTAGAATTTGAAAAACGACGGCGGTAATCGTTAACAATTTTTAATATGTACTGTGTTTGGATCTCATTTTTTGTTAAAATTGAATTATAGTCCAGTATTAGTTTCACTCCTCGCTCTGCCGTATCATTTACTACTTTCAAGCTTAGGTCATTCTATCAAAAAGTCATCGCACAACTTAAAACGATTAAAAATGTATTTAGTATGTTTGTATACAAACTGTTCAATTCCCTTTTCTACGATTTCAGTTATTTTTGCGCGATCTATTGATACTCTCTTGACGTCCATGTCATCACTTTCTATATTCAAATTCGAAACCATCTTTGTCTTTGTCTCAGGTGATATATTTAAATTCAAAAAAAGCGAAACGAACAAGCGCTGAGCTTAAATACCAAAGATGATTACATAATTTCTCCAAAGTAGCTCTAGATATATCTTCATCAATTTTTTATATTGACTGAAACTAGAAAGAAGATTAAAATCTTGGTAATGAGCTTTGACTGATGACAAAGCATTAAATCACACTTCAACACACACTTTAATAATAAATATACATATATCGCAAAGAGCATTCTCTTCTTCTGTAGATAATTTGAACTCTTTCCAAAATAAAAATAATTTTAATGCATGCATGGCTTTCGTCATCTGCAGTTCGGTTTTTCTCTTAAAAATTTTATTATTATTATGTTAAGTTTTTTCCGAGTTAGTGCATCTGGGCACTTTTATGATAGCTGGGGGGATTCTGCCCATCTCACTGACTAATTTGAGTATTCCTGATAATTTTCGTGATTATTCAATGATTGATCTAAGATCCTCGTATCGCCCCATGCGGTTAGAGATTACTCTGAGATTAGATAGTGCTAAGTGGGGCAGCCTGTCGGTTTTCGCATATAGCTTCAGAGCTCTGTCCCTTATGAATTTTTTGACCTATTCTAAGGCCTCTTAGCAAGTCATTCGTGCGGCTGTACCATGGTTTCAGAATTTCCATATAATCAACTCTTAGTCGGTCACCCTTACGAATCTTATAAAGAAAACTTGTAATTCGTAACACATCATCTGTGTTCAATGATTTTCTCACTTTTTCATTTTCTAAGTTGACTGTCAAAATGTCAACGTTTATTTGCGGCCAAAAGTTTTCAAATTGTTGAAATAAATAAACATTTGAGCTTTCAGACTTGCAAACCTTAGCATGGAGGTTAATTTTGGGAATAATTTTGTAAATGTGATGTCTGCAAGCTAAATATAAAAGATCTTTTTCTAAATGTTTTTCAATAATTAAACAAGTTTCGATGCCTGTGCTCTTCCGGTACCATTTTTCAGTGCAGGTATTTCAAATAATTGTTCAACAATAACCAAGAAGGTATATATTTTTACAGAAATTCAAAGAAGAAATCTCGGTAACACTTCTTAATGTAATCACTTTGAATTAATCACTACGATAAAATATTATAAAATTCACTTTGTTTCCCAATGAATAACACAGAAATTTATTTATGTATATAAATATACAAATGTTGGACTTATTATTTTGCGGGCAAATGCATTCATAGAACTTACCTAAATTTAATTGGGGATTTTAGCTTGTATTTGCTTTTATTCAATAACTATCAGAAATACAGAAAAACTTTGTATGAGTGAATTGCTTATTTTTAATAGGTCTATAACTCTTTGAGAAGACAGTTTTTATGTAAAGTTAAATATGTCGGAGATATAAGCAATCAAATATGAATTTTATGGAAAGTTATTAATTTTGCTGGGCATTTCCATTCATTGAACTAATTTAAATTTATTCTGTATGCGATTGGATGCCCGGAATTTGCTTTGAAATTAATGGACCTATGTACAACATTACCGAAAAGCTTTGGTCTCATTAAATTGGCGCTTATTTTCTATAAGTAGTGATTCTAACTATCATGAGATCCAGACAGTTGTTTAACTGTGAAAGTTAAGTAGGGCGTTGCGAAAAAAACAATAAAATATGACAATTTCATATGTTGAAAAATTTGTGTAATTTATGCTCAAAGCTTATGGGGAATCTTTTATCGACTCATTTGTACAAAGTCCAGGAGTGTGACCTCGAGAATTTCGCAGCACATATGAACTTTTCTGCCGTAACGAACTGAATCGATCTGGAAGAATTAGAAGTGCTGCCAAAACTTTTTCGAATTCACCGCGAATTTTAATGGAATCCGAAAATTTACATACAAGTAAAATTGAGTATTGACAGCTTGCGTAAATGGAGTGAAGCAATTTATTTTATAATTGCTATGAACATCAATTGAAAAAAGAAATTTTTCTTTGTTGCATTTCTAATTTATCATTCAATAAATGTTTTAATAATTGTAATAGACGTTTTTTTGACTTATCCGCACTCTTCTTATTTTCTTGCACACAAAATCTATTTTGTTAATCTGTGACAGTTCTTGAAATTAATATTAATTTTTCTCTTCTATTTAAATTAATTATTGCATGAATCAAATATGATATTTTTGTGGCAGAAATACGATTTTTTTTATTAAAATGTCAAGTGAAAAAGTAATTCTTTTCAAAGCATTATTAAATAATACTGCTTGTAAAATATTCACCCCATTTGTTTCAAATAATTAAACAAATTAAATTAAATTAAATTAAATTAAACAAAGTTTTCAATTAAGTTAAAATGGTTTAAATTGAAGCTAGAGTTTTAAGCTAGCGATGATGTTATTAATTAAATATATGAAATACGACTCTCATCGAAGTATTTACATAGACAGTAAAAGCAAACAGTTTTGAAATTTTGTGCTTTTACTCTTAATTCCATTTAGTAGTCTTAAACATAATCAGACTATAGCTTTCAGTTTATGTTAATATGCGTGTAAAAAGCTTAATATAGTTTAGATTCACATTCATTTTTAAATTTTTGTCATAATTTTCTCTCAATACTCCAGGAGTCATATTGGTTGGAACAGTATTCATGGGCACTATTTAAAGCAATGTCTCACATGCTATGTATAGGTTACGGAAGGTGTGTTATAATAATAATTCAGTTTTTATGGCATGTGTATATTATATCCATTACTTCTTACAGATTTCCACCGCAATCACTAACAGATATGTGGCTTACAATGCTGTCGATGATATCAGGTGCAACGTGTTATGCATTGTTTCTGGGACATGCCACCAACTTGATTCAAAGTTTGGACTCCAGTAGAAGGCAATATCGTGAGAAAGTTAAGCAAGTCGAAGAATATATGGCTTATAGAAAACTACCACGTGATATGAGACAACGTATTACAGAATATTTTGAACATCGATATCAGGGTAAATTCTTTGATGAAGAATGCATACTTGGAGAGCTGAGTGAAAAGTTAAGAGAAGATGTGATAAACTACAACTGTAGGTAAATAAATCAAAAAATCGAATACAACTCATTGAATTATATATTATATGACATATTAATTTTTTAAATAAAATTTTCACATTTTTCAATTAAAGGTCTTTAGTTGCTTCTGTGCCTTTTTTTGCAAATGCTGACTCTAACTTTGTATCAGATGTCGTTACGAAATTAAAATATGAAGTATTCCAGCCTGGTACATAAACTTGGTTAAGTGATTATATGGTGTAATAATTTTTATTTTATTTTAGGTGACATTATTATAAAAGAGGGTACAATCGGAACAAAAATGTATTTTATACAAGAAGGAGTTGTAGATATTGTTATGGCGAATGGAGAGGTTAGAAAAAATTATAAATATACTTGCACCAGAAATATAATTATAAAGATTTGTATAATGAACACCATATCCATTTTCAATTTTTAAAACATACATATATATTCTTCGATACCAGTTTAAATTATACATGCATATCACATGGGTGCAAAAATACAGGACGAAGTACAATGATTGTGTATTTGTGTCTATGCGTTCTCTTATATTTCTCCGCTCAAAGTTAATAGTTTTTTAAATCACTTTTAATGTTTGTGGTGAAATTTCGTTAAGAGAGCTTAGAGTCGTATAGGGGTACAGAGAAGAACTCTAGCTGTGTTTCTTTTCAGCAATTTTTTAAATGATGAATTTTCGTTATACTTTTATCGCGAGATTGTATGTGGTGCCACAAAAGTATCCCCCTTTAACGGGGAAGTACATGCGACTTCGCGCTGTTGGTGCGACTGTCATTAAGTCTTTCAATTAGTGTAGACACACAACTTGGAAGGACAGAGTACGCTTATGCCCGTGCGTGAGATCGAGGAATTTGGTGCTTGTTGGTTCACAAATGGCGGCTTGGTTTTGCTTGGTAAGGCTTTTCATAAGGTGCTCGAAAGGGGTCCACATGCGATTGGCTCACAAGAAAACATATTTGCTAGTTAGCAGCTTGCTGGGCACAAACACTAATTGTTGACCATGTTGTGTGCCAGATTGGGTTTTGACAACACCTAATTTTCTACATAACGATTTACCAAAATTTGATTCAATTGGCTTGATGGTAATGTCTGATGGTAACACATCTGTTTCAATAATACTAATGGAAGCTATTGGGTCCAGCTGCTAAAATCGTAACAACCTTTAGACGTCTTTAGTATAATATGGAATCGTTGCACCATGTCTTTCGCCTGAAAGTGATAGGCAGCTGTATGCCAATGCGTTATTCTCAGTAGTTTTGTCACTTCTGTGAATATAATAGACTAGAATTAACGCCCTCGGTCCATGATGACTACACACGGAGTACCGAAATGAATGAATGATTTTGGTGATGGCAGTCAGCTTTCAACCATGTGCGCTGTATTTTAACTGTGCAGTATTCAATGCTTCGAATAAAATGCTAAAGGTTGAGTTTCACTCTCTACAATCTACTGCAAAATTGCACCTACTGCGTCATAAAGTTGAGCAACGAATGCTGTAATGTCTTATGGCTTCTAGATGAATTCGATTTTATCGTTTTTACGATTTCATGGACTGAGGTTGAATATAAGTCAGTGGTTGCCGGTGTTGCGTAAAAAATGACGGTAACAGTTAATCATCATAGAAAACGTTTTGACTCCTTTACAGTTAGTGAAAGAGAGCAATCCAGTATCGTTGCCAATTTAATAAGCTTTTGGAATGTTTGAGCTGCGCTCCGTAAGCCAAACGTCCGGACCGGAACTCGAACAACACAATAGGGGTAGTAATCGCCGTCTTCCGTATATCACCTAGTGCGATGGGAATTTGGTGGTTGGTACGCCTTCTGCAAGTCAACATATAAAAATAATCTTTTCGCATGCAGGATGCAGGTCGGTATTTCAGTCTGCGCCTTAAACATGCGGTAGTTGGCACACGGTCTTGAACTTCCATCGCGTTTATACATTTTCAAACATACGATCAACTAAAAAACTTATCCAATATATAACATCTCCGACAAAAATCCAAAAATAATTAAAAAGTTAGAATAATTAATTTATGTATGTACATTATGTGGTATGCACAGAGCTATTTTTTTTAGCATTGACTACAGTATGCTGCATATATTCGAACACCAGCATCAAAACAGTTTTAAAGGGCCACAAACTATACGCCACAAATTTTTAATATTCACCAACTCAGCAACTTTGAAAAAGCTTTTTTCAGTATTATTGTTTTCCATACACATGCAATTAACAATATTTTATTAACTCGTATTTTCAGGTAGCAACTTCTCTTTCCGATGGCTCATATTTCGGAGAAATCTGTCTTCTAACTAATGCAAGAAGAGTTGCAAGTGTACGTGCTGAAACTTATTGTAATCTTTTTTCATTAAGCGTGGATCACTTTAATTGTGTACTCGACCAATATCCATTAATGAGAAAGACAATGGAGACTGTTGCTGCGGAGCGGTTAAATAAGATTGGAAAAAATCCAAATATTATGCAACAAAAAGATGAGCAATTAAGTAATCCAGAATCAAACACTATTACAGCTGTAGTAAATGCTTTAGCAGCTGAAGCAGATGAATGCAAGGACGAGTAAGTAGATAACCCATTGCGTATTTTCATCTTATTTTTAGGTTAATTTTATTTTATTTATATATATTTTTTTATTTCTAAAACTATTTATTAATACTACTCGACTATGGCGTTTATTAAATAATACCTAATAGTTATGATTGAAACTTCGTCACTGATAATAGAGTGAACCATTTCTTAAAGATCTCTAATTAAACACAAAACTTATTGTGCCGCGGCTGAATTACCTTAAAGAACAATAATCTGGTATTGCTTCAGATTTATTAAGTCCATGCGTGGTTTTGGCCAGCTGACTTCACCGACCTAGGTATACTAGTTAGGTATGCCACATGCGTTCCTTATTTTCTTATGGGAATGATTCATTTGGTTGATTTCATTTGGTACATTCATTTGGCTTTTATAGTACATTTCAAATTTTTTGTAATTTTCTCAAATTTTCTTGATAATTCGCCATAATTCGATAGACTCGATGAATATATCATTCCGTTCATCACTTTCGTCATCACAATCGGAAAAAGTAATATCCGCTTTGACAGATAGAACACACCTAAATTTAATGTTATTGGCAGCACCTTAAGCGCCTTCAGTCGCTTACAGTTCACATCGTATACATCATTCACAGTAAATTAGGCACTCTGTGTCGACCATCTACAAAACTACCCTGATGATGATATGATTTCGATCATCTTGAAATCGAAAATCAATTCATTTGATAAAAGTCCTGTACTGTAGACTCTGCTGTATTACATGAGAGATCGTGATTATAATTACCAGCATTTGTCCGCCGCGGTTACGAGTTACATTCATTCGATCAGTCCAAATTTTGACCCTTTTTACAATAAATGTAGTTGTATTGCATCAATGGTGGCATGAACAATGGTTCAACATAGAATAATATGGTTTGTCGACATAAACCAATGAATTAACATAACTCCATAAAAAGTTATCGAGAGGCCCATTCCTGGAAATAAATTTTAAAACCAAATTGATATCGAAATAAATCAATTCTTAAAAGTGCTTTATAGCTGTTGGAACCAAATGTCGTCGATGTTATTTAACAAGGTGGGAGAGTATTTGAACTTAAGGAGGAAAAAAAAAAAAAAAAAAATAAATACATATATACATATGTATGTCGTATAAAAACGCACTAAATCTACCAAGTCATAAAAATCAGCTGTTAATCTTATTACTCTGGAGAAATATGTAGAATGTTATATATTAATCTATATATTAATCTCAATTTTACTCGAGATTTATCAACCAAAAATCAAAATTGCACTAAAAATGAATGTCGATTGAAAAAGTTACCCAGATTTACCAATCGGAAGCGGCACTCTCATGAAAAAATTTTGGCAATATAACTGTTTTTTCAAAAATACCTTAATAGAACAGCTCGGATAAACTTAAAGCTTAGAATGCAAGCCTTTTAATCTTGAATAAAATACTGTATATAAAGATTTAATTAAATAAATTCAAAACTTCATATACCTATGTATCTAGTTCCGCTAAGACAAAAAGAAGGAAACCTATTCGTTTCCTAATGTCAAGCAAACTACTATTGATATTACAGCATCTGAACTAGGCATCTTAACGTATAACCCCACCAAAATGAACGCTTGCGGACAAACGAACTTTTGCATGTACCATTACCTGCGAATGCATGCTTAAATATTTTACATTTCAACAGGGAATTTTAACTGTGCGTAAAAAATACGTTTAAAAATGTCATTTAGGAGAAAAAAGCGTATTCACAATAGCAAATTGCAGATAAACACAATAAAGTTTGGAATATGTTAAAGAAATTTCAACTTAATTTAATTTATTTTTAATAAAACTTAATTTAATTAACGATTTTTTATCATATAGTGATGTAAAATAATTTAATTTTATTCGAAGTTTACTGTAATATTTGCTTTTTTTATTGTTTAGTCTTTTATTTCACTGTTGGGCAGTTTCACTGCTGTAATAATCGTTCATTTAATAATTGTTCACTGTTTAACAATAGCTTCGAAGTGCGTCATAAAACAACATCTAATTTTAAATTTATGAAAGAAGAAAAATCTATCTATTTATTATTTAGATATCTGTTTTAATTTGATGTAACTTAAGCAAATTACTTTATTTTTTCATATATAACTAATTACACATCTAAACTAATATGTCAAAGGTAACTAACATCGTAGAATCCTAAAAATTAACTACAAGTACTAATAAAAAATTAATCACTATATTTCAAAATAATTAGCAAACCAAATATTTTATATATTAAAACTATTGTGACCCATTCGATTTTAAAACAAAACTGCATTATCAACTCTGAGATTGACATTTGAAAAGTTGGCATCACTTTGTACATTTTGTTATTATTTTATTCTGACATTCAAGAATCATTTATGGAGTACAGAAATGGCTGCTTGACGCATTGAGATATTTAGATATTTGGTTAGGACAAAAGGTAAGTGGAAAGTATAATATTTTAGTTTTTATCAAGTTAATTTTGCTGAAGTGCTAAAAAATTAATAATCGTTATTCGTGTTTAAAAAAATAATATTTGTGCTCATATTGTGAGTTTTTTACTACGTCGTTTCGTGTACAGACACCGTTCGTCGCATTCGTCAATTCGGTAAACGCCTTAATGCAAGCATATATACAGTTTTACTGCACAATATGAGTATCGATTCATATAAGAACAGATATGTGTATATGCACGCAAAATTCGTATGAGTTGATTTTATATTTCAGAAGTTGTACTTTGTGTATATTTTAATTTAGAATAAAAAAAAAATATGAACTCGAATTTTTTATCGAGAGCATTGTGCTTTCACGGGCAGCCAATGCAAAAAATATGGGAGGATGAAAGAGGCACAGGTGACTTACAAAACTGCGGTCTGCCAGCAGAAATCAATTATTCCATCTATCAAGAACGGCAGAAGCACTTTACTTTTCAGGACCGTGCCAAACGATTGAAATTACATCAGTTTTTTGCTAAAAAGGCTACGGATTTGTATGATAACGAATTGACACCGGATCCCAGCAAGGCAAACAATAATGAAAATGCAGAAAAAGGTAATATAATGTATAAATTGTTGTGTAATGTTGGACTGAAGAAGTCAATCCTTTATTCCAATTAAATTTCAAACTTCTAGCCAAGTCTTATGCAGCTGTATTGCCACCATATGAAGTTTTCGTCAATAAGCATAAGGATAAAGTAAGAAGATGGCGTTGCATTTTGGATGCCATTAAGCCTGGTGACCTGATATATGTGGCAATCACAAAGGCACCTAAACCAGGTTCTGCTATAAAAGTGCAACCATTATGCACTGCACCACCTTTGGTTCGTCATCTGGATGATATACCAACAAAGGTATATATTGTTGTATGGTTGTTGTGAAACAAATATTATACACATAGTATTTAAGGCTTTCCTGCAACAAGTTAGTACAGCAAAATTACCGTTGGATGAACACGGCAAGCCGCGCTGTTTTGCTGTTAACGACCACGTGTATTGTGAAGTTTTGGAAATTTCAGTGGATGCTGATCGCTTGCTATTAGGAATAGAAAACGTTTTTCCTAAGAACGGTAATGTGCGTTTAGGTTTGGTTAACGCACATAATTTGCCGAGCTATTACAAGTAGGTCATATATAAGTTTGATTTTCAATATTAACTATTTGTTTTTATTATTCCGCTTCCACAAAAAAGAAAGTCTATAAAACGAGTTTCAGATAATTATGAAGAAAATTTGTTAAAATCGAGTGAAGCACAAAATCCTAATTACGATGTACTATTTGAAATGAATGGTTTAGATGTGGATGATAACTTCTCGTTAATGAGCTCTTTAAAATACGGATTTCAGAAAAAAGATTATGCTAAGGAACTACGCCAAGCTCAAGCATATAAATGGGCTTTTCGGTATCTCTTATATTTTATTGAATTATATATAAAATTATGTTTTCTTATCTAATTTTAATATTGCAGTTCCGTTGCTGAAGGTATTGATTACTTCAAGCAAGGTAAACAACTGGAAGCATTTCAATGCCTTAATAAGGCATTAATAATTGATCCAAGAAATGAGGAAGGACTCGTTGCTCGAGGTGCACTTTATGCAAATAAAGGCAGTTTTTTGAAAGCAATCGAGGACTTCGACAGTGCAATGAAAATAAAGCCAGAACATGCTAATGCACGTAAATACATGGGCGAAACTTTAGTAGCACTTGGCCACAGCTATAAGGAAGATAATCGTCTGGAGGAAGCAATAAAAGCTTATACCGACTGTTTAAATCTCATACCCAACCATGAACAAGCACGCTTATCTTTGGAAGCCATACAAAAAAGCCGTAACAGTGGGCAGATATTCGATAATATTTTGAATATACCAGGTAATGTAAACAATTGCCTAGAACGACATTGTATAATATATAGACATGTCAGGTATGTCGCGGCCAGTAAAGCATGATTCAACAGAAGATGAAAGTTCAACAGATTCTGACAGTGAATCATCTGTAGAATGTGCAGGTACGTTAAAAACATTCCACTTTCCTTATATACAAAGTCAGTTATCAGTTTTGTTAATGGTAAGAAAACAAATATATATACGATCACATATAATCAGCTAGTCGTATGCTTTAATTGCAGCACCAAGTAAGGAAACTTCAGTTTCTCCGTTTAGCAAACGCAGCAGTATGGATATGAATACTTGTACCAAACAACAGTACAAGCAGCCCTTTTATATGGCAGCACAGAGTACCTTGCCACCTAATACGATGTTGCGAAACGATTTAAATGACTTTAAGGTAATTTCCAATATAACGTAGAATCGCTAAAGAATTTCTGTTTGCTCGCAGCTTGACGATGACGACACTGAGTCACTTGTGCGTAAGCTACTGTTAAAAACTTC